CTCCCATCTGTCCCTCCTTCCCCCCTCTCCTTCCCCCCTCACATCCCCATCTCGCCGCCGATGTGGATGGGTGAAGCGGCAGCCTCCTATCGTAGTGGACGGAAAAGAGGGCCTTCTCCTCCATCTGGGTGTGGCAAGCACCAGTGCATTCTTTTCCCATCGCCTCCCCTCTCCTTTTTTTATGTAGGTTCAGATCTGTCAACATCCTCCTTTTCCCCTATGGATTAGAGATGGCTTGGTAGTTTTGATGTTAGGTAAGGTTGGTCATTAGCATGGATATGTGTGATATGTCCAGAACACTTTGCTAGATTATATGGAAATGAAGGAATCAGTAGATAGGTAGAAAAAATGGTTATGCAAATGGTGCAAACAGTATGAATAATTTGTGCATATTTTTTATTTTGTTTTGATGATGAAAATAATGTCAATATTATCAGTGCCCATGCCTTTATTAATTTATAAATCTGTGCTGAATTTATATAGATGGATGACAACGGCAAGACCCAAGATACCCTGATAGTGCAAGCTACTGGTTTGGTTGCTGTTTTGTGTGCCTATATGGCCATGATAACTACAAGGGCTAGAACTAGAAACTATCGTGCCCCAATCCGTTAAGTTATGCTTGAGAGAGATGTAGCTAGGTTGTCCAATCTACGTTGTATCTACGAAACCAATGATATAAATTGTCATGACCTATTAAGGATGAACAGGGCCCCATTTTATAACTTGTGTAACTTATTTCGTGATCGAAAATTGTTGGAAGACAGCATTCATACCTGCATAGAGGAGCAGCTTGTGATGTTCCTTCTTGTAGTTGGGCACAACCATAGGTTTAGGGCAATGAAACCCATATTTAGGAGGTCAATTGAAGTAATCAGTTGATACTTCAAGGCTGTTTTATATGCAACTGGTGAGTTGCATGATGAGATGGTCCAGCCCCCATCCAATGAAGTTCATCCAAAAGTCCTACACAGTAGGTGCTTCTATCCCTACTTTAAGGTAATATATTGCCATTTAGAATTCTATGGACATGTCGAATAACCCATATTTTACAAAATATACCTCACCTCTTTTCTTAGGACTGTGTTGGTGCAATTGATGGCACCCATGTTCTTGCCAAGGTACCGGCTGCTATTGCTTCGACATTTAGTGGTCGGAAAGGTGGCACCGCCCAAAATGTGATGGCTGCGGTTGACTTTGACCTTAAGTTTACCTATGTGTTAGCTGGTTGGGAAGGGTCAGCCCATGATGCATTCATCTTGGCCGATGCGTTGGAAAGGAATGATGGATTTTTTGTCCCTGCAGGTATTAGTGAACCATTTTAGAAACATTTTACTGGATTTTGATCGTTTCCTAATTACTGATAGTAACACAACACATGACCTCTTATTTGTTAGGAAAATTCTAGCTTGTGGATGCGGGCTATGCCGTGCGGCCAGGGTTTCTTCCACCACATAGGGCTACTCGCTATCATCTTACTGAGTTTGGTGAATGTGTCCCTCAAAATGAGAAGGAGTTATTCAACCTCCGTCACTCCTCATTGAGGATCATGGTTGAGAGGGCATTTGCAGCTTTCAAGAACCGATGGAGAATTGTGGACGACAAGCCTCACCACCCTTATCCGTCACAAGTCGGAATTGTCCTAGCTTGCTGCATTCTTCATAATTGGATACTACAGTGGGGAGAGGATGAGTTTGTACCACCTGAGCACACTTGGACTGGGAATCCAGCGTCAGACGGTGTGATTGACATAGAACATGATAATAGAACCTGGTCACAAATTAGAGATGGTTGGGTTGGGCATATGTTTGCCAATAGGGGCAATTCACGTGTGTAGAGCTCACGTGTTGGGTTATGAATAATTCTATCGTGTAATGCTCAAGTGTGGAGCTCAATTCTATGGTGTAATGCATTATGAATAATTCTGTCATGTACCCAAATTGAAACATTTATGTATTATGTACTCTCTTATGTTGCTGTTTGAGCTCCACTTCAATTCTATTTATGGTTCTTTAATTCAGTGTAGGTTCTGTTCATGATTTTTTAATTCTTTTTATGGTTCTTTAATTCTGTTGGTGCTTCACTTTAGACTTGAGATAAAATTTTGATTATGTTGGTTCTCCTTTTTGTTGTTCTGTACATAGGGCTGATGGCTGAGATGGCTGTTGATGGTGGGCATGGTGGTGGGAATCACCCATTGCGTTGGACATCTCCAATGTCTGGGTTCATGTTACGTCGGTTTGTAGAGCTCATTGCTGGTGGAGTGAAGACGGAGAAGGGTTTTAAGGAGGTGCACCTAAACCAGGTGGCTAAGAATTGTAGTGAGCATTTTGGTCTTTCCATAATAGGGACCCAAGTGTACAACCACCTCCGCAAGTGGCGTGCTAGGTGGGTGAAGATAAGTAAGCTCTGGGACATTAGTGGATCACTTTGGGATGACAACAACTATGTCATATCACTGGAGGAAGAGAACTACCTGGGTCATATCAAGGTTTGTACTAGCTTAGAGTTGATAACCACGCTATTTCATTACTTGCACATAACCACACTTCATGTTCGACCATCCCAGTAGCTATTTCATTACTTATGCTCAAAGAACTAGATTTACTAGTTGTTAGAACCTCATCAGTAGCTATTTAACTAACCTTGCCATAGTCACACTTCTTGTAGGACCATCCAAAAGATGTTGAGTACCTCAATGTGCCTTTAGAGAATTATGTTCAGATGCTTGCTATCTTTGGGAGTGGTATTGCTACAGAAGGTATGCAATGACATCTCATCAGGCTCTTGGGGTTCCTTCAATGGTGGAAACCTCCCCATCTTTTGTAAACCTTGAAGGTTGTGGTTCTGAATTTGTTGTTGATGGGAATAAACTTGGCTCAAGTGCTACTACTGCTGCTCATGGGGAAGATGCTGGTGCGGCTCCTCATGGGAAGGAACCATGTAAGGATGCTTCCAGCTCCACTGGCAAAAGGAAAAGGGCTAGCCTGATGAGTGAAGAAGAAGTTCTGGTCATGAGCAACATGTCTGATGCAGTCCGTGAAGTTGCTATTGCTATCAAGTCCACCGGAGAGGCACACCCAGAGCTTTACAATGCCGTCATGGAGCTCCCTGGTTTTACCGAGGATGATTTATTGATTGTCTTGGATATCTCAATGAGAACGCCAACAGGGCTAGGAGCCACTCATTCGTGCAAATGTCAGAGACTCGTCGCACTCGTTGGGCCATTCACCACCTCTCCAAGCTCAACGGTGAAGTGCCCGTGCCCAAGGATGGAGCGCCTAAGGAAGGAGTGTGAGCAAATATGTGCTAATTCACACCAAACTGGCCATATTTTATTGTGTTTGGTCAGAAAAACCATGCCCCTATATATGTGATGTATGGAATGTAACATGGACCTTGTGTTATGTTCCTTTGCTGGACTGTAATATGACAATATGGATTTGTGGCTATCTAATATGCGAACTCTAGTATGTACTGGACTATAATATGACAATATGGATTTGTGGCTATATATATAATATGTGAACTTTTAAGATGTGCTGACACTGGATACTTGATTTTTGCGCACTCTCTATGATCCTGGAGTATGTTTTGAGCTATTTTGTGCCATATAAACTGCTTATTTGTATATAAACTGCTTATATACTTATAGAAACAGACAAGATATTGCTGAAATTTTCTTTCTCTTATCTCTGCCATTTTTAAGACACGTGATTATATTTTGACCACATTTTGGAGACTTTTGAACATATTCTTTTATTACTTGAATCAAAATATATATCTAAAATGATCTTCTAATTATTTTACATACATGTACAAGCTTCCTAGAGCCCAATTCCACATCATACAGGCTACCAAACAACATATGTTGTATGCCGCATCTCTCATACAACCCAGATGCAGCATACCAAACAAAATCTGAGCTGAGCCTGCCCCATATCATGCAGTGCACCAAACACACATCTTATCTCTATTTTGCATCAGCTCAACTAGGCCAGCCCTAGCCAAGCTCCCTCATGCATTGCATGCTAGATGCAACCAGGGAACCAAACACGCCCTAAGTGGGCTATCGAGCTTGGACCTCACGGGTTAAAATATATGCCTCGTACGGCCATCAAGTCCCAAGCACTCGTGGATTTCATCAATGACTGGACAGAGTTGCAGGCACCAGAGGATAAACAGGATAACACATACTGGACTATTCACTTCGACGGGTCCAGACAATTGGAGGGCTCGGGGGCTGGAGTGGTTCTTACTTCCCCTCGAGGTGACAAACTTTGTTATGTTGTCCGCTTGATGTTTCCCTGTACTAACAATGTAGCTGAGTATGAGGCCTTGCTCCACGGTCTTCGGATAGCTAAGGAGATGAACTTAATCCGGGTACGTTGCTTCAGGGACTCCGATTTAGTGGCTCAGCAAGTATCTAGTACTTGGGATTCCAAGGATCCACTCATGGCGGCTTATCGGCGTGAGGTGGATGTCATTGCTGGTCACTTCAAGGGTTACCAGGTCGAGCACATTGATCGATGCAAGAATGAAGTAGCGGATGCTTTAAGCTGGCTCGGGTCTCAACGTAAGCCGGTGCCGCCCAATGTCTTTCTTGATGTTTTGCATAACCCATCAGTCAAAATACCAACGGAGGAGGATCTGTCTGTTCCTGACCCGGAGGCTCAATTGGTGGCGGTTCTTCATGCTATCCCTGATTGGACGGTGCCCTACTTGGCGTATATGACCCGGGGTGAGTTACCCGAGGACAAAGTTTTGGCCAGACAGATAATCCGGCGATCTAAGTCCATGACTATTGTCAATGGCGAGTTACATCACTGAAGTGTCTCGGGGGCGTTTCAGTGCTGCTTTTCTCCTAAAGAAGGCTGTGAGATCTAGCGTGAAATCCACAAAGGGGATTGCGGTAATCATGCCGGTTCAAAATCCCTCGTGGCTAAAGCTTTCCGACACGGTTTTTACTGGCTAACAGCTCATGCTGATGCTGAGGATCTGGTCAGGAAGTGTGATGGTTGTCAGAAATTTTCACGCCGAGCCCATGTTCCGGCCCAGGAATTGAGGATGATTCCAATCACCTGGCCGTTTCAACTTGGGGGCTAGATATGGTTGGGCCTTTTAAGGGGTCCAAGGATAAGAAGACCCACCTTCTGGTGGCGGTTGATAAATTCACCAAGTGGGTGGAGGTAGAGCCAGTCAGCAAGTGTGACGCAGCCACGGCGGTTCAATTCATGAAGAAGGTGATTTTCCGCTTTGGTTTTCCACACATCATCATAACAGGTAATGGCACGAACCTCTCCAAGGGTGCTATGGAAGAGTTTTGTCAGCGTGAGCACATCCGGCTTGATGTGTCATCGGTGGATCACACCCAGTCTAATGGTCAAGCGGAGAGAGCTAATCAAGAAATCCTAAAAGGTATCAAGCCCCGACTTATGGTCCCTTTGCAGAGGACGCCGGGTTGTTGGGTGGAAGAGTTTCCTTCTGTGTTATGGAGCATTAATACCACCCCCAATAGATCTACGAGTTATACACCCTTCTTCATGGTTTATGGAGCAGAAGTAGTTCTCCCAAGTGATATTCGCCATGACTCGCCCCGAGTAGCAGCTTATGTTGAAGCGGACAATGAAAGAGCACGCCAAGATGCATTGGACCTGTTAGATGAGAAATGGGACATAGCGGCAGCTCGTTCAACGATTTATCAGCAAGACCTGCGGCGTTATCACAGCCGCCGGGTTAAAACCAGAGCTTTTTAAGAAGGCGACTTAGTGCTCCAGCTTATCCAGGATCAGACCGATATGCACAAGTTATCCCGGCCTTGGGAAGGGCCCTTTGTGGTCAGCAAGAATCTGAACAACGGGTCATACTACCTTATCGATGTTCGAGAGCACAAATACTCACGCAAGTCGAAGGAGGAGACCCGCCGGTCGTGGAATATTGCTCATCTTCGGCCTTACTACACCCGAGCCATAGGCTCCTATTATGTACATATTCTTGACAATGTATATATTATGATCAATATAATAAACCGGCATCCTTGCTAAAGCGGGGCCTCTAGCGTTCTTCTTTAAAATATTTCTTGGTTACATGGGGGCTCCTGCTTATAAAGCGGAGTACTATTTGTCCATTGATCCGGCTTATAAAGCTACAAAAAAAAGAGAGCATAGCTCAAACATAAGCTTGGGGGCTTCATACCCAATATTATAAGGAGCCAAAGAGAGTTCATTGCGAAACACAACTCAAACATAGGCGCCCACTGAGCACAGCTCAAAATATTGCTTGGGGGATCTTTGCTTCTACAAGAACAAAGAATCTACACCTTGCAATAGGCTATAAAAGCCAGGCTTGGAAGCCAGTTGTATTCACCTAAAACCCCGGGTTAACCTACCTTCATCAAGTAAGTCACTCCGCCCAGGTAATCCTGGTATGACCCGCCGAACGTTTGGCAAGTCAATCTTATACAGACCCTGAACTTGTCAAAGTTAACACGATGATTGGTTAATGTGAGGTCCATCTTAAAAGGCGTTGTCAAATGGTTTGACTCAGTGGCCTGGCAGCCCATGAAAAGCCTCGCCCTTTTTTGCATATTTTCTTTGTGCACTTTTCTTTTCGATGTTCATTTCGATGAGATTTATATTAAAACCCGTGACCAGTCTTGGTTTTGTGTTGCCAAGTACAAACTTACAAAGATGACCGGTGTCATTTGACCCGGCTTGGTTTTCAACTATAAGTTGTCAGTACACAATCAATTATAAACCGGCGTTTGTTAAACCGGTCTGGCTTTTACTATGAAGTCGCCAGTATGATCATCCGGTGTTTATTATAACCCGGCATGGCTTCATTGTAAACCAGCACAACATGGTGGGAGTTATCAGCACTCAAGATTTGGGTTATCACCCTTACTACAATAAAGTTGATAAATCAACAAGGTGATCCAATGTCACAGGTATGATGTATTTCATATTTAATTTTTCTTGATGAATATAGCCTTGGTTATAAACCCTAGCTTCATATTGGGTGTTATGACCCGTTCGGCGGTAAACCGCTAGGACAGTTTTAAATTTATGATACGCAGAAACATGATTGCATAAAGCTGCTAAGGATCATAAGAAGACATAGCATAATCATCATGGATTAACAGTATTATGCAAAGTAAATATGCACGACGGCATAGCAGACCAAGTGTTTCAAACTAGCAGCAGACACCCAAAAGAATAATTGTTTATCACCAGTATTCCAGTATCCAGAAGCTAAACCGGCCTCCGGATCATGATTCTTCCTCACACTGGCCTGACGGTTGTGGGTCATCCCGCACCGGTTCACCCTCCGCCTCTCCACCCAGTGGCTGGAAGTCAATGGTTGCCCAGTCAATCCCAGTTAAAGCTCAGAAGACAGCTTCATCGCTTATAAGATCGGACGGTTCAACATCGAGGGCGTAGGTATGCTTACAGATTGGTGGGATAAGATTTTCCACATCATATACAGATGCATCAACCTGTTTGTTGTCTGCGTCATAAATCAACCGGTGGAAAGACAAATCAGTCTCTTCAGCTAGTTTACTTGCAAGTGGAAGCATTTCCTTCGTCAAATCCCTGAGGGCGTCATTGTCAAAGTCTGACCCATCTTCTTTTTGGATGGGATAGCCGTTTCCAATATCTTCCGGATCAAGATCAGATATCCAGGCCTTGGCCCGAGTCAATGCAGAGAGAGCACCGACCCTTGCAGCTGATCTCTTCAACTCCTCGAGCTGGGCAGGTGTCATGGATAATTTT